AAATGTATGCTATGTCTTCTAATGATGCTGCCTAAGGGAAGCATGTATAATGTATGAGGTAAAAATAAAAAGAGCACAAATTCCTGATAAAACGTCTGTTTTCTGTGGACTTCCATCACACTCACCCTCTTTTCTCTCAATCAACCTTTGTCTTCGAGGGGCTCCTGCAACACCATGCCTGGGATTATAATGACTGTAATATCAGTCTGACTACCAGTCAGTCTGACTGAAATGTGCAGAGTCGCTGCTTTGAAGAGGCGTTGGAATTCTTTCAATTTTTCAGGAGTTACGGGAGCTACAGATGTTAATGTGACAATGACATTCTTGATTGCTTATAAACTTACAGCCCGTGTTTGTGTTTTATCAAATATTGGTGCTCAATGTGGTCTTTCCTCAGGAGAACCCGTACCTGTGCAGCGATGAGTGCGACGCCTCTAGCCCAGACCTGTCTCACCCTCCTCAGCTCATGGGAGACAGGGAGAGGGGTGGGCTCATCACTTACTGGCAGACAATCACATGGTCCAGGTTTCCTGAGCCCCTATTGGCCAACATCACCCTTACCTGGAACAAGAGTCTGGAGGTGGTCGATGACATTGTTGTTACCTTCGAATATGGCCGTCCAACCAGCATGGTGCTGGAGAAATCCATCGACAAAGGTGACTGGAAACCTGTTAAACACCTGTTCTGACTAATGTTTGAGAGATTTCCCTGAAACATTCTGCTGATCAACGTCACTGAAGAGTAATTAGCTGAGTGCAGAGTCTGAGGGGTATCATTCAGAAACCCTTGTCTCCTCTGATCCGTGGATGTGGGTGAAACAAAGTCATTTATGAAGCTTTTACAGATGGATTTTGTCTGGAGATGATTCTGAAACCAGGAAACAGGAAGTCACAAACACCGTGAACTGTCAAATAATCAGCGTTTGTGTTTCAGGTGTCACTTGGCAGCCGTATCAGTATTATGCCGACGACTGTCTCGAGGCGTTCGGCATGTCGCCCAAACGAGTCTCTGATTTAACACCAAGTAACATTACCCGGGTCATCTGCACCGAGCAGTACTCCCGCTGGGTCGGCGCTAAGGTCTGTAACTGGACCCTGATGCTGGTCCCGCACAGTATGCAGAACACATTTGTACAGCTTATATTTATTTGTGGTTATCTGAAACTTCTCCTCACCAACAGGAAGAGAAATCTGTGGTGTTTGAGGTGCGAGCTCGGTTCGGGGTGTTTGCTGGTCCAAAGCTGATCAACATGGATGCTCTGTACACTCGGATGGAGACCACAAAGGGACTCAGAGATTTCTTCACTTTCACCAACCTCCGACTGAGGCTCCTCCGCCCGGCACTGGGAGGAACCTACGTCCAGAGAGACAACCTGCTGAAATACTTCTATGCTATTTCCAACATTGATGTTTTTGCCAGGTAACCAACAAAGACCTACCATAATCGAACTATAACTCAGCAACAACTGGCTACATTCACAAATGAGACAAACACGTCCTTGCCCTGCAAAGACCAACATCCCTACTGGGTAACAAACTAAACAACCACAAACAAACACTAACGTACCATTTCAATGCCAAAACCAGTTAACCAACCTCTATATTACAACCAAGACGAGCCAAAAGCCAGCCATCATCATCAGGCGTTCCCCAACATTACAGCCAATCACAAAAAGTCATGTAGGGGGGCAGAACAGAGCAGGGAGGCCAGTTTAAGAGGATTAGGATTTGAGATTTTGGAAAGAAATTGGACTACATTCAGAAGAATTTTCTTTTAAAGCTTACCTGACATCAGGGGGGTTTCAGCAAGTTTAGACATACACAGAGGATCCATGGTCAAGCTGAACACTGTCACCATCTTGACATGACAAGCAACTCAACCAGTCCCACTGTAGACCCGCCCTAAATCCTGGCCTGCTTCGAGCAGGACAAACTGTTGTATTCAGTCAGACCTGAAAGTACTCACTGCTCAGATCGCCTGAGCGATCTGAAGGCTCGTACACTTCTGTCCAGTCAGACTCCTTCACAGCCAAGAGGAGTCACTCCCTGCTGGACATTAGAAAGAATGCAGGTTTAAGGAGCAGCGTCCATCTTAGTGGTCTAGTTTCAGGAGGAGGTTTCATATGAGTTGGTAAAAGTTCAGGTGAAGCTAAGCCCTTCTTTGTGTGTGTTTCTCAGGTGTAAGTGCAACCTGCATGCATCTCAGTGTGCGCTGCGCGATGCGACACTGCAGTGTGAATGTGACCACAATACGGCTGGACAGGACTGTCAGAGCTGCAGCCGAGAGTTCACATCTCGCACCTGGAGACCAGGATCATACCTGTCCCTGCCCAAAGGCACTGCCAATGCCTGTATGTAGCTACACATGCACACAGACACGCACCTGCAAACAGCAATATAAACTCTATACCTGTTTCCATTCATGTCCTTCTCAGGTGAAGCAACAGAACCTGCAGCCAGTAAGTACAGCTCAGCTGATTAGCTGCCTTAACTGTCTGTCTGCTCACCTGTCTGTGTTGCATCATGGCACTTTACACTTGTAAGCAACTGTGTGTTTCTGTGCAGCTTGTCTAAGGTGAGCTTTTAGCAGCTGAATTCACGTCACATTACATCATCCCCGTCAGTCACACGATAGCAGTCTACAAGGAAAATTGGGATGTTAATTATGTAGTTAACAGATGAGCCGCTCATGCTCTTAGTCTGTGTAAGTTGTTTTAAGTTGCTAGTTGTCACACACACACACACTCATCCTAGGAGATGCAACCCTGACTGAATAGAAGATCAACAGATAAGCTATATAGATCAGTAGATCAGCTAGTGACTGATTTTTCTAGATCCGAGGAGTCAGCAGCTGAATTCTCAAATTTCTGGACAAATGTGATTCAAAGTTTCTGAGACTAAAGCACAGGGTGGAAACAGTCTGGGCTAAAGAGAGGATTTGTCCAGCAGTCTGTGGATTTAGCTGCATTAGAAATTGTTAGTGTCCATAAAGCCTCTGCAGGACACAGACCGGGTGTTTCTTACAATCACAGGAGATGAGATGTGGCTGGATGGGGTGCAACAGACTCCAAACTAAACCCAATGTTATGGCCTCAGCACCCTAAGCAGGCAGGACCAGAGATAATAACCCCATATCTGTTGACTGCTGATGAGCCATGGCAGAGATCAGGTGACTGAGGATGAGCTAGATGTATAAAACCCAAACTGCACGAACTTTGAGATCCAGGTTCAGTTGCAAAAGGAGCCTCTGAGCTGTGGTTCATTGTACAATGTTGACCTGTTGATGGTGTGAACAAATCTGTATAATTTCTAAAATAGCGCTGCTGTTCAGACTGTTAGGGGACAGGTACAAACATGTTGAGATTTGGGGTGCTGAGAAGGAGGCTTAGTCTCAGATTTAAAGACAGGACTTGAAGAAAATAAGCATCAAGACTAGAAGATTAATGACTCAAATGGTTTCTGTTGTTGGTTAGGGATTGCATGAGGGATGGGGGTTGATTGCAGTTCCACTAAGACCAGGTTTTGGTGTCCAGGGAGGCCTTTGAGAGCAGGTGGTTTACTCTGGAGTCTGTCAGCCTGACCATCTGCGTGGCTGTTATGAATATGTTCATTTATTGCACTCCCTTTCATTAAAACCTCCCTGGAGTCTCTTAGCTGTAAAAAGATCTTTTTTTCATTCTTTTTTCTGGTTTGGCTTCATGGTGGGACACACACAGCTCACCAGTTTATTTTTACAGCCAGAGAATTAGACTGGAAAGCCCCAGTACCCTGTTCTGCAGACTGTAGAGAAAAGATTACTAAAGAGACGTAACTCTTCTTCTCTGACAGCAGGTGGTGACTCTAACTCTGAAGCATCTGATAGACCTGCCACATCAGATGGAGTGACTGACAGTACTACTACTGCTACTATTACTGCTGTACCTGAGAGCAGGACGCCAACCGACACAAATACTGCTGTTGGCATTACTACAACCACAACTGACAGAACTACTACAGCTACTGTTCCTACTAAAACTGACTTTGGTACCCCAGCTGACAGTACTACTACTACAACTATCAGTGACAGTAGTACAGCCACTTATACTGTAACTGACAGTACTACTACTACAACTATCAGTGACAGTACTACAGCCACTTATACTGTAACTGACAGTACTACTACTA